TGAGGTCTGGGTCTCGATCTGCTGCCTGCGACAGCGCGCCAAAGGGAAGAGCACAAAAACGCACAGAGAAAAACCAACAAAGCCGCCATCGTTGAGATTGCCCAAGTGTGAGGGTAGCAAAAGGGAACGGGCATGGCACGCATGGGGCACGGCTGCCAGAGAGTGTGCGAGGCACAGACACAGCTACAGCCGAGGTCATGTCGCAGTCGCAGTCGTTCTTGAGTTAAACATTGCACGCAGCCAGCTCGTGTGTGCGTGTGGTGCGATTTGCTGCTGCTGCTGCTGCTGCTGCTGCTGCTGCTGCTGCTGCTGCTGCTGCTGATGGTTGCTTGGTGGTTGTTGCTCTGGTTCGGCCTTTGTCTCTGGCTCATGCTCATGCTCATGCTCTGTTCCTGTTGCGCAGGCGCACGGCAATGGCACGAGAGACACAGAGAGCGCTCTGGCTCTGGCAAGGCTCTGCGCTTGCGTTGTTCGCATCAGACAGGAGATTGTGCACTGAGAACAATTTTAGAATAGAACTCGTATTTAATTTATTAAATTTTTGCATATTTAAATATTGTTATTAAATGTAAATATTAGTGTTTCTTTTTCATTTGTTAATATAATAGATATTATTTTATTTATTATTTCTAAAATTTATAAGATAATAATTAATACAAAAAATTTAATATTTTTCACATTTTTATATATTCATGCTTTTAATTTATTTTTTATATATTTAAAAATGTATTATAAAGTGTCTTGGTTATACTTTAACGACATAACCTTACCTAATTTTTTGTCAGTGTCGACAATTGACATCCGCTGGTTAATAATGGTTATACTCTGTAAATAAAAGGGTATACCCAAGGCATGTTTTGAATCATCAAAATACATTTTAACGGCACTAGGTTAATTATAGAATAAATACATATATTAAAATATTGATAATAACAAAATAATATTATATTTTGAAATACAATATTTTAGAATATATACTTTAAAATAATAATAATAATAATAATAATAATAATAATAATAATAATAATAATAATAATAATAATCTATTTATTCTTTTTTGATGTTTTAATATATTAGAATAATAATAATATTAATTAAATACTTTTTTTTCAGAGATTTCATGTTATTCAGATATCAAAATATACAAATATTAATTTATTTTATATAATAATTATCCTTTTATAAATAAAAATTTTCATTCTAAAATTACCAATATAATTTTATGAATTTCTAAACATAAACCTTTTAATTATTTCCTCTTCAAGAGGGAGTTTATGAAATGCACAGGGTATCTCATAGTTGATCAGGGAAAACGGGTTTGGTTTAAATGTTGCACACGTGCAGCGTAGACTGAATGTTGCCACAAGCAGAGAGTCGGTACCACACACAGACGCACGCACAGCGACACGATTGATGCTCGTCTTGGGCCATCATTCCCGATCTCATCCGATGCGCTTCGCTCTGTTCGTTTGTGAGCGTTGCGTGGTAGCAGTTAGGGGAGGATTTTGCAAGTGTACGCACCGCCGACGCCGACGACAACGCCAACGCCGACTCTGCTGCAGCTACAAAAAGGATCAGTTTACCTTGCGGCAAGATCATTTCTCAAGCGACTACCGTGCGGTGAACAGCAGCAAGTGTCCGTTTCGCAGCAGCGTTCAACATTCAACGCTCGCCTGGTCAAATTGAACAAGCCACTTGCCACATTTCAACCAAAACACACACACACACATACCTAATCTAATTTGCACAATGGCCGTGGAGGGTCAGAGATTTATGACCAAGACACAGCACTATCGCAAGGTCACCAAGCCGCTGCTGGAGCGCAAGCGACGTGCCCGCATGAATCTCTACTTGGACGAGCTCAAGGATCTGATTGTGGATACAATGGACGCGCAGGGGGAGCAGGTCAGCAAGCTGGAGAAGGCCGACATACTCGAGCTGACAGTCAACTACCTGAAGACACAACAGCAACGGCGTCTAGCCGCCGGTTCATCTGCACCCACCTCCACGCCCACTTCGCCACCACCATCTCAATTGAACTTTGACAAATTTCGTGCCGGATACACACAGGCCGCGTACGAGGTCTCCCACATATTCTCCACGGTGCCTGGCGTCGATCTCCAGTTCGGCACTCATCTAATGAAGCAGCTGGGCCACCAGCTCAAGGATATGAAGCAACAGCTGAGCAGCCCAGTGCCCAGCGAACAAGCCAGCGAGCCCGTCAACCTGGCCAACGGCAACGAACAGCGCTCAACATCACCTCAGGAGAATCTTGACAAGGGCGAGGATGTCTGGCGACCCTGGTGAAGCATCCGTTGAAGCCCACCCCTAAGCTTTATAATCAACATTTGCACATTGAGAGCTTTATTCATCTGGTTTTAGTTTGTAAGATTTAACCGAGTTCTCCAAGGTATACTGTAAACATTTGCCCAAGCTTAGATACATATGATATGATGTGATGTTCCTGTGATAGTTTTTAAGTGCGTTTATTAGTATTTGATCTCCAGTAGAAAATAATACCAATGCTTGTTAACATAATTTATTTTGATTTCGATTCACACTGAGCTTCCCATATTGAGCTTCCATTTAGATTAATCTTTACATCTACTTATACATATACATGCTTTAAATAAATATACAAACTAAATACAAAACCTCAAACAACTTTGCATATTTTGCTTATAGTTTTGAGACTGTGTGGATAACGAAATAAGCTTTCCAATTATTCTGTGCGCTACTAATCCATACACGATATTATATGTATGTGTATTGACTTACTTTAATTATTAATTTTTGAGTCAGTATATTGTTTTAATTTGTAGACATTAATAATGTACAATTCAATTCTTAAGTTTGGTTTCATTTGGAAATATGAATGTATTCTGATTTTCAATATTCGCTCTATTCTTAATTTTATTAAATATCTTCATATAAAAAAATATATCTTATTGCTTTTAATATTAATCGCAGTTTATAAAGACTCCGATTCAATAATGGTGCAGGATGCAATCTCTTTGTTTTGGATTCGCTGTCAGTCTATTCGCGTAGCTGGAGAGTAAATCTCCAAATGAGTTCTAAGATCCTATGCAGATCCCAATGCAGTACTGAATAGACCAATTACCTTCAGCATATTTGTGTTAGATTTTAATTTATCAAATATAAATTCACGATGTTTAAGTATCTACTTAAGAATAGTTCATAATAACAAACTTGATTTTATGTGAAATAGAAAAACTGTCGAATTATCATAGACGCTCATCATTTTCAATCACTTCGATAAAATTTCTAAAATTTAGTTATCATTTTTGTATAATTAAATCAATATAAACTTTATATTATATATAATATAACTTTATAATAGAATAATAAATAAATAAATACTAATATATAATAATAATGATAAGCTGTGTTTAATTGAAATGGAAATCCAATTAAGATATAATAGCATTTTAAGTATTAATCGCACTCCATGTAGAATAGGTGAAAAGAAACGGAAAAATGAATAATATTGGTAGATAAACTGAGCTTTGAGCAAGGACAAATGCTGCAAAAAAAAAAATAAATAATAAATAAATAAAAAAATATATATAATTTGGACTTTTTAATGAATAAATTGACTTGAATTAATAAATAAATTGATTTGAATTTGGATGTTATATATCTGGATTATTGACCTTGAATATGGTTTAAAATATATTTTTATGAATACAAATAAATACATATATTTTTTTATAAATATGATATTTAAATGTATTTTTGCTTATAAATAAATTATGAAAATAAAATATTAATTCATATGTTTTAAGATTTTATACTAATATGAACTATTCTTTCTTTTTTATTTATTTATAAATATTAGTATTTTGCATTCTCATTATAATATTTTTCTAGCAAACCCAAAGCTAAATATAACTTAATATAAATAATACATAAATATCCTTTAGCCACCCGCGTGAGTTGTCACGAGCACCACCCAGCACCTCAACGCATGCCAGCCCACACTCGCATGTAAATTTCACCCAAAACTCCACAGTCGAATTACAAGGGCCTGGAACGCGCACGACTTACAGTCAAAAGTCGAAAGTGTGTCTACCGTGCGCCACACGCGACTGGCGAGCTGCAGAAGTCGAGCTGCAGCATCGCTTGGCCCCTGCCCGACCTCGACTCTCACTTACACATTGTGTCCATGGGCCAGGCGCTGAGCAGAGCAGAGCAGAGCAGAGACGGAAAAGCAACGGGAACGCACATTAAGCACACTCGTCGCACACGAGCAATGTTCCCACAGGATCATGCAGGCCAACAAGTGTAGGACGAGCAGCCGAAATGGAATACCAATGCACAAACAGGAAGTGCTTCTCTTTGCAGCTCCGCCCGAGAGAAACGCCCCAGCAGCAGAATGCTGCTGCTCCTAGCATTCCCACGGCAACGAGCGTCTGCTGCTGCTGCTGCTGGCACAAATGAGATGGAAGATGAAGCGTGCAGTTCATTATCCTTTCGCTCGCCCATATTCGCTTAGGCAAATCATAACACAAATCTAGAAATGGCAGCTGCGCCACAAACGCTCGCAAACACACAAACTGCAAAAATTCCCATGGCCAGACGGAGCATGGTTCGAGCTGCGCTTCGTTGCCCATTGAGCAGGTGAGCCTGCTCAGAACATTGGTGTGAGAAACCAAGGAGGAAAGTGTTTCCCACGATACTGCAAGCACACACACACACACGCACACAAAGGCAACGATCCTGCAAAGGCAGCGATCCTGCTCCCTGGTGCCCGCTCATGATAAGGGTGCCACAATAAGAATGCGAGCGAACAATAAGAAACAGCGGAAGGGTCGACGACGATGACGACGACGACGACGTCGAGCAACCCTCATGCCAGCACACGCTGCACACGAAATGCCAACACAGCCGAGCCCAAAGCCGAATGGCGATGCCAATGCCGATGGGATCATGGGGGTTGGTTTTGGCCGCACGGCTATAAAAGGCAGCGGCCAGGCGAGACAGCAGCACACAACGTCTTGCACACTCAGAGCAGCAACAGCTCAGCAAAGCAACCAAATACCAAATATCACATATTAAATATCCCACAAAATGTCATCGATGCAAATATCGGAAATGTCCAAGACGTATCAGTACCGCAAGGTGATGAAGCCGCTGCTGGAGCGCAAGCGACGCGCACGCATTAACAAGTGCTTGGACGAGCTGAAGGACTTGATGGTCGCCACGCTGGAGTCGGAGGGCGAGCATGTGACTCGCCTGGAGAAGGCGGACATACTCGAGCTGACCGTCACCCATCTGCAGAAGATGAAGCAACAGCGCCAGCACAAACGCGCCAATGGTGGCGCCGAGACACTTACGCCGGCAGAGGGCTTCCGCTCGGGGTACATACATGCCGTCAACGAGGTGTCCCGATCCCTGTCCCAGCTGCCCGGCATGAACGTTAGCCTGGGCACAGAGCTGATGACACATTTGGGCCAGCGTCTCAATCAACTGCAGCCCGCTGTGAAGGAGGTGCTCCCAGTGACAGCGCCGCTCTCCGTGCACATTGCCAGCCGGGATGCCTACTCGGTGCCCATTTCGCCCATCTCCAGCTATGCCGGCAGCCCCAACTCCAGCGTGGCCAGCGAGCGAACGGGCAGCGCCTCCCTGCTGACCACCTGCTCCAGCAACCTCAGCATCAATGTGACCAAAATGGATGAGGGGCCTGACAGCGAGGATGAGGAGAATGTCTGGCGCCCATGGTAGAGCCACACCGTCAATCAGAAAAGAAAGAGAGAGAGAATGAGAGTTGAGAGTAGCAAAAGTCTTCCAGGTCAATGGGTCAAACAAAACCCATTGACTCCACTTAGTATTAAGTTTTAAAAAAAATTGATAAAAGAAAGCTTTAACCCAGGCGTAGTCCATGTGATAACTAAACTTAATAATAAATTATATAGCTAAAAATTGAAATATGTAAACATGTTTTTATTGACTCATTATTTGCACCCCTGAATTCAATGGGAAGGGCTGATTATCAGCAAACGATGGCCCATCCAATTGGTCAATCGCGATTCCAGGAATGCGCATATAATCATGCATGAGCTCTGCCATGGCATAGTCCATCGAGCGGAAATGGTCTGACCGTAGCCTAAGCTGCTGCTACAGATTCTCGAATCCAACTGCGTCAGTTCGTTGTAATTTTCTCTGTTCTCTGTTTTTTCTTATTGTTACCAACAATCTGACAACAATAGAAAGCGAAAACAATGCCAAGGCCGAGCGAGAAGAGAAATGAAATAGAAATGCTGAAAAGAAAATGGGAGAGAAATAAAATCAATGTCCGTTACGAGGCTACCGACGCGTCCAGCGCTCAGAGACCAGAGCTCAGAGCCCTGGGCACCCTTGAACACGTGTGCAGACAATAAGACCGGGCCACATAAAAAATTAGAGACTTATCTCTCGGCGTGTCTAATCGAGTTACGACAATGTCGCTCAGTCTTAGGCACAGGGCCCGAAATCTTTGTAAAGCAGAGTCGGGGCCGAACAATAGCAGAAAAGGATCGAGTCATCGGCGTACAACCCTCCGGTCCAGCCTCCAGCCTCTAGCCATTGAACATCCTTTTTTTAGCCAGAGCCACTCGGCTAGAAAATCTCGTGCGCACAATGGTCAAGGCAAGACACATAATTGCTCGGGCTGTCTGTCTGACATTCAGGTAAAGGTAAATGATTGCCATTCCCTGGGGCACCGACAGGATATCGCTCTTTGTTGGTGTTGGCCCGCATCATTTGGTTATCTTATGACGCTGTTGCTGCTGCTGCTGCTGCTGCTCCAACAAGACCAGTAGCTCCGACGCCTGAGCTGTTAACAATCAATGAAGTTAAAGACAGCCACATAAAATAGCCCAGACAACATGAAAATTATGAGGGCACCTCTAGGGATGGCCTTGATCAGCATAAACAATCTTAAGATTTAAGATTGCTGTCACTTTGAAGAAGAAGAAATAAATTTAAGTGGAGTTTAAGTGCTGCGGGCGAAGATTAACTCAAGAAAAATAATTGCGCAAATAATCGACCTATAATTTAGTATGCACTTTTTATATAAATATAATTTTTATTTAATAAAAAAAAAATAGTTATATTTATAAATATATTTATAATTATAATTACTGTTTAATATAACATAATTAATAATAGTTAAGGCTAATAAATAAAAGGATTTTTGTGAATACACATTTTTTTTTTAAATAAATAAAAAAAATTTTTGATTTTATTTTTTAATAAAATGTGAAATTTATCCAACTTATCATATCACACTTTCGAATTAATTTGCATTTGTTTTATTTTATAGGTTTTATTTTAACAGAGGTCAAATAAAAAAACAAAATTATTCTGAATAAATTCTACTTTATGTGAAGGCATATTAATTTTAGATATTTTATTATAATTTTAATCCATCCTAATTTTATTATTTATTTCTTATTTAAATCAAAACTGAAGAAAAATTCCTGATTCCCTGATTTTAATGGGTCCAGTGTATAAAAAAATATATTTATTAATTGAGTACTTTTTTGACTGTTAGAGAAGTTGAACTTTAGATATACGTTAATTGTCAAATAACATATTAATATAAGTATGTATTTATTTTAATTGACTATTAAAAGTTTTTTATATTTTATTATTTTAATTCGAGCTGAAATAAAATAATTAAAAATACAAATTATTTAGGTTAAACATTTCACAATATTTATATATAATAAATAATGCATAAATTACGTTCGACAAAATCTAATTCAATGGTCAAACAGAGCACACAAAAAACAGGCACATTAATTCTATTACACAACTCAATTGAATGCTCAGTCAAGTAGCTCATGCGAATTTGCATATGATCAATGCGCAAGGCAATAAGAAATCGCAACTTAGTGCTGATCCTCGCCCATCCCCAGGCAGCATAATTGTGGCGTGGCAACAACAACGAAGACACAAACGACAACGGCAACAACAACAGCAAACAAGATGCATAACCAGAGCCGACACCGACAATGGACAATGAGCAGAGTATGGCATAAGGCAAAGGCAAAGGCGAAGGCGAAAGGAAATGCATGCGTGCTACAAAAGATACTTAATCTTAAAGGTAAACCCGATGAATGATGAACGAATGTGTTGCGACGTAACCGAAACCGAGGCCCATAACTCTGAAGCGCTCAGAGAAGATCTGCAGCGAGCTCGACGGACGACGGACGACGAACGTCGAACGCTCGAACGCAAGCCCAAGTCATTAAAAATCTACAATACACAAACTGCATACGAATCACTTGAAGGGCCCCAGCACACGCACACAACGAAAGACGATAGACGAGGGACAGGGGTGCGGTGGTGCGACGTTGGTAAGGCGCAAGGGACGAGGGCGAGCAGTACAAAAAATATCAGAAGCGAAGATCGTGAGAAAATGGTTTGGAACGTGGTTCTCACACGATCGACACACCTGCCCTTTTTTATATGTATTTGTATATGTGTATGCGTGTTTGTGTGTGTGTGTTTGTCCCTGTTGTACGTATTTTTTGAATTCAAGATACAAGACCACTTACGGGCAAGATCACGACTGAGGAGCGAGGAGAAGAATAACTGCCGCTGCCGCTGCCGCTGCTGCTGCTGCTGTGACTTGAAAGAGAAAAGCAGCGTGCGGTAAGTGTGCGGCAAAGTCGACGTCGTCGCATTGGCCAACATTGTAATGACTGTGGACACACGATCGTTAAGACCACAGCGTAGCCGAATTGAAAAGGGGTAGGGGCATCAGCGCAGGGCAGGGGGCGATGCAACGAGAGGCGGCCTGTGGCGCGGCGCATGCGCGAACGCAGTCGCGCCGCAACGTTTTGTCGAACGAACTCAATTTACTTTGTTTATGGCCAGAGCGAGACGCTGTTAGAGCGTGCGATAGAGACGGCCAGCGAGTGCGGGGCACCAGCCGAGCCACACTTATATGGTGTGCTATTGACTCTGTAATATCTTTAATATGGGATGTTGTTACACTGCATTGGCACACGCGCACGCTGCCACTGGACAAGCGCTGTCCACTGCTCTCTCTCTCTCTCTCTCTCTCGCACTCCCTCTATCTGTGTGTGATGCTGGCACGAGTTGTGGCACGGCAGCCCCACGCCATTTCCCTCCCGCCCTCCTACCAAACTGAGCGCTGTTCATCCCAAACGATGGCTCTGGCCCAGCACCCGCTTGATCGGCTGGGCTGGTCGCCTGGCCGGTTTTTGATTTTTTTTTGTTTTTTGTTTTTTTTTTTTTTTTTTATTAAGTGGGGGTCTTGCGCTTACTTTAATATGGCTGCATTAAGTTTTGCGGCGTGTGTGTATGATGACTGCAGTAGGTGGCACTGCCTGGCCCCGGGGTAGCATCAACAACAGCAGCAGCAGCAGCAGCAGCAGCTTCCACTGCAGTTGCCTGAGTAAATGGGAATGTGAATGGAATGGAATTAGTGTGGGGCCAACACTCAGAGGTCACGTGATGTGCGCGCCGTACTGTACTTCTTTTCGCAAATATAAAATATATGTGTATGTGTATATGTATGTATACCGACCAATATATATTATTTGTCTGCGTCTTTAAGGCGCTTATGAACCGTTCAAGCCGCTCCAAATTAACTGTTAGTTATTGGCCCACTTCAAATAACATCATCAACATCATCATTGTCTGCTCCATATAATGAAGTCAATAGCGAAATACTTTATCAAGGTGTCTTTATTAGTTCATCAATAATTGCGAAATTTAGAGTTGCAATTGGGTTTGCAAATCTGTTTACCTCGAACGGGGCAAAGTCTGGGAAATTTAGTGCCTAGGCGCAGCTAGCTATAAAACACATTAAATAAATACAAATAAAAGTCCAATCAAGCTAACAAATTTTATTATAGATAAATATTATGTATTTTCGTCACCAATGATAATAAATAATCTGAAATACGTGTAAGCCAATGTTTAATTTGCTTTTCGAGAAAAGCCCCTTTTGTTAATATTCTCTACACATTTTTTTCTATTTTTCAACTCTATAAATCATATGAAATTTTTATTCATTATTATTCATTAAAATTAGTCATAGCAAAATTTATCATTAGATGAATTTTTGTTATCTAATAGTATCCTCTACATATATACTACTTAGACTGACTCTATTATTATTCTCATCTATGTCATTAAAGTATCATCATAAGCCTACTAATCTCTGACCGCACTTTTCGAAATCATCAGCCAAGGCGAGTTCTTTAATGATCCGCTTGCAATTTTCGTGTCTTCAAACTTGACCAAACAAAAACAAAAAGCTCATATATGTATATGCGTGTGTATGCGTGTGTATATGTGAGTGCGAGTGTGTGTCTTCTGCAGGTCGCTGTGCCAATGTTACGTGACTAATCACATTTGGCAAAGATTAACAGCAATCAGCATCTGTGGAGAGTAGCAGTCATCATCATAGTTGTCCACACCAGACACAAAAGCGTTCAATTCGAAGCTCCGTAACCAAACCGCACACTCGCATACCAATACACAAATATGTGTATATATGTATTGATATGGCCACTCATATACCGATACCAATACCAATACCGATACATAACAAAGTTTTAAGTGCTCGGTCCGGTCGCGGTCGCGGACCTTAATTTGCGATGTCTGCTGGTCTGCTCGTCTGTCCGTCCGTCCGTCCGTTCAGCTGGCGGCCCCGGCGCATGTGCCAAACGGTCAAGCGCAGTTAAAGCTGTCAAAGCTACAACAACAACAACAACAACAATGCGAACCATTGACAGCCGACTCGAGCGGTTCTCACACTCAAAAACTTGTAATAAATGACGTTTCCTAGAATTCAGTTGGTGTTCTCTATATATACA